CATTTTTATTCCATATTCGGAACAGGCACTAAAAACGTTCTTTCCTGCTTTTTCAAGTCTTATGGTTTGTTCTTGAAAGGTGGTGCTGTTCAAAAATTCATCTTTCAGTATTAGGCCATAAAAACGCTGGCAAATGAAGGCAAAATTGTTGCTGGCCTCATCAACAGTGACGATCACAAAATTCTTGTGTATTTCCTGTAGGAGATCTTTGAATTTTCTGTAGGAAATATCCAAAGAGCCTTTGGGGTATTTGACCTGAAAACTTTCAATTTTCTCTTTAAATGCTTGAAACACTTTTATCCTCCATGGATGGAAAAAGGCGTCATAGGTTCCAGTTTGAAAAGAAACTCGAGAAATATAAGATTGGATATCCATGTGGATTTGCTCGATTAATTCCTCCTTGCTGAACCTATGATTAAAACGATATTTAGCTCCTTGTATGAATATAGCTTTAAGTTCTCTATTGTTTAGAATATCCGAGTCTCCTGTAATAATGTGTTTATGATTTCGGTCAGTAAACACATGATATTCTGGTTCCTTGCAAACACAGGGTAGTTCGCTAATAGAGCAAAAGTCTAAATTTTCAACGAATTTTCTGTGATTGCAGACTTGAACAAAGAGAGGTCTTGATAGCCTATAGGATAAGGAGGGATACGTTTCTTTCAGTGGGAATTCATCCTTTATTTCTTGATTTTGTAGTGTTTCTTTCAGGTTCAATTTCTCCATCTGTTTCCTGGGAAATGGGATGACCAAAAAGCTTTTGAAGATGTTCTTTTCTAATATCAAGTCATCGTATTTAGAATTTCCCAACTTAAACTTACAAAAATCTAGAACGAGACTTTTCAAGTGTGATTCGGGAAGAATTTGAGTCATCAGCATGTTGCCCAATTGTTTGACCTTGCAGCGACTCACGAAGTTCAAATCTCTTTTAATGGCGTTTACGATGTTTCCCGTGGTCTCAAAGTTTTCTTGCCAATATTTGAACCAGGCCTTGAAATACACAAAACCTTAATAGGGATGATTTTAAAAGGATCTATTACCTCTTCTGCGACTCCTGCATCCTTTCATAGAAGGTAGTAATCTGTGTATACATTCTGTAGACTGAAGATTCGTTACCATGTGACCATTGTGCTTATCATTCAGTCCAAATGGGTAAGTTGTTTTATGCAGAATCCTTTGCTTATTTTCAATTATCAAGCGTTCATTGTCATTTTCAACAAGATCCAGGATATGTACGAGATATTGAGATGTTGTCAAATGGATGGTTTTGGAAGTGCTTAATTTCAGCATCCTTTCCTCTATTGTGTTTAATATGAGACCTATGATTGTTGATGCGGAGGTTAAAGGCTGTGCTGGTCTGATCAACATAACCCATTCCACATGTCCCACAGACAATTTTAAAGATTAAGGTCCTCAATTTACAGAATGGAAGAGTAGATTTAACTGGTTGTTGATTGGTTGTGTCTGACACATACTTGCAGGTACAGCATCTTTTCGAAAGGCAATTCTTTGAAGCCAAGTAGATAATTATCAATGGGTGGCTAGCCCAGTGACAATTGAATCCCTAAACGGTGCTTAGTCAAGTCCCTTATGATCCACCTGACAGTTGGAGATTAGAAAGAAAAGGTTAAGGAAGTACTCAAGCTGAACTGAAAATGATCTACAGGAAGGGCTGTCCATCTTACGTTAGAAAGACAACCTCTGGAGGCGATAATCGACTCAACCAGAAAGTCGGCGAAGATTGTATAGGAATAGAATATCCCTTCGGGATAACTTTTTCAGAACAATCCAGGTGCTGGGAGCGATAGCCGACAACCACAGACACCGAGGCTTATTATGTTAGTGAGAGAATCATGCCGGTCAAGCTAGACCTACAGCCAGCACGAGTCCGAGCTATTGATAGAAAATGAGAAGAGAATATTAAAAAAGCGAAGGATTGCTAAGGAAGCCTAATGGACTGGCAAGTCGTAGGAGTCTCGTCAGGGGCACGATCCTACCAAACAACTTGCAGTGTAGTAAAACCCTTTTCGACATCTCCACACCAGGGAATGATCATTAAGGAAGAGGACAGTGGCTTCTGCAACAGAAGTAACAGAAAGCTTCCACAGCTTAAGTCCATCCTATATGCACCACTCCTGCACAGTTCATTAGCTGGACAAGGTTCACACATTTGGTTCCTAGAGGAGCCTAGTGCAGAGCGTTCTCTGCATGTAGACATGACGATGCTCAAGTCACTATCTGCAGGACCACTGTCTGGCAGTAAGAGGTTTCCCCTGGTGTGGAGATTCGTGCCCGAAGGGTTCTACCACTTCCCTAGGCTTTTAATCAAAGAGAGATTGGCAAAGAGAGAAAGCCAATGCACTGGGATCATTAACTGGGATAAGTAATAAATTAGCTGCAATCCGAGCCTGAGTATGTGTCAGATAGAGCCAACTCTGAACCGGAAATATAACTGTTCCCTATGGAAAAAGACCTAGAAACATGACAGGAAGAAAGAGGAGAAAAGGCAGAAGATGAAAGCTATTGCAGAGATGAGGAACTTGGCTCCTGACCTAGAGCCTGTATTCTTGCTTAGGCCTATGGTCCATAGGCTATAATCTGGCCTAGGTCTAAGTCCTGGGCCAGTTAGCCCTGGCCTATGGCTTGGGAGTCGTGGCTTTGGAACCTGTCTAGGGAGGGTCTCACTTTAAGAAAGAGGAAAAAATATCTTCACCACCCACCTCTCCATATTTGTTTGAGATTGGCAAATAGTGGGTTTTATTGAAGAGCTTGAAGTTTTTGCTAAGCATCCAACCTGGATATCCATTATAGCTCAATGTCTTATGAAGAAGCTCGCTGTTGAAAATGAAATCATCCTTTATTTTGAGATTGGCAAATAGTGGGTTTTATTGAAGAGCTTGAAGTTTTTGCTAAGCATCCAACCTGGATATCCATTATAGCTCAATGTCTTATGAAGAAGGTCGCTGTTGAAAATGAAATCATCCTTTAAATCGCAGATTTCCAAATATCTATTTAGCTGCGATTTTATCACATTTTTGATTATGTGGGAGGGAATGTTAGAGTGGTACATAGGCATGTTCAGTATTTTAAAGAAATAATCCCTTCTCTTATCATAGATACTGGTCAGTATCTGCGAATTTGAAATACTTAGGTTTAAATCCAAGTAGTGTGCCTTAAGAAATGGAGGTTGAGTTGTTTCTACAACTTCCATACAATCCGGATAGATGTTATTAGTATCACAATCTATCCTGTCATTGTTAACGGCCAGGAGATCATCTATGTATCGGAATGTAAAGGCATGATTCTCAGAGAAAGGGTTTTCTTTAAGAAATTTTGATTCATAGATTAACAGGAAAAGGTTTGCCATGTTCGTGGAATAGATACTGCCCATTGGGATTCCGACTACTTGCTGAAAAAGTCGATTCCCAACTTGGATATAATTACATTTTAGGCTTGTTTTGAGCAGTTGAGAGAACCTTTCCTTGTCGATTTCACCTTTCTTACCGAACTTGCATCCAAAAGGCAGAAACCTCTAGAAAAGAGCAATGATGCAATTATGGAGTAGGTCTAGGGGGATTTTTGTATATAGAGTGGTAAAATCCCATGATCTGATGGATTTGGCTGTTTTAATAATATTGATGTTTCTTACAGCTTTAAGTACTCCTTTATTGTTTTTTATAATCCAATTTTCATGGACATTTTGAGAGGAATATTTGAGCTCATTCATGAGCTGATCTAGAATCTCATTCACTCAAATTGATAGATTTCTGATGCATGTGCTGACTGAGCTGGCGATGAACCGAAATTTTATTGGATTTTTATGAAATTTGGGGTTTGCAAAAAGGAAAGGTATTTTTGTACTCTTCAAATCTATTTTTATTCCATATTCTGAACAAGCACTAAACACGTTCTTTCCTGCTTTTTCAAAACTTATGGTTTGCTCTTGAAAGGTAGGGCTGTTCAAAATTTCATCTTTCAGTATTTGGCCATAAAAACGCTGGCAAATAAAGGCAAAATTATTGTTGGCCTTATCAACAGTGACGATCACAAATTTCTTGTGCATTTCCTGTAGGAGATCTTTGAATTTTCTGTAGGAAATATCTAAAGAGCCTTTGGGGTACTTGACCTGAAAACTTTCAATTTTCTCTTTAAAAGCTTGAAACACTTTTATCTTCCATGGATGAAAGAAGGCGTCATAGGTTCCAGTTTGAAAAGAAACTCGAGAAATATAAGATTGGATATCCGTGTGGACTTGCTCGATTAATTCCTCCTTGCTGAACCTATGATTAAACCGATGTTTTGCTCCATGTATGAATATAGCTTTAAGTTCTCTATTGTTTAAAATATCCAAATCTCCTGTAATAATGTGTTCATGATTTTGGTCAATAAACACTTGATATTCTGGTTGCTTGCAAACACAGGGTAGTTCGTTGATAGAACAAAAGTCTAAATTTCAACGAATTTTCTGTGATTGTAGACTTGAACAAAGAGAGGTCTTGAAAGCCTATAGGATAAGGAGGGATAAGTTTCTTTCAATGGGAATTCATCCTTTATTTCTTGATTTTGTAGTGTTTCTTTCAGGTTCATTTTCTCCATCTGTTTACTGGGAAATGGGATGACCAAAAAGCTTTTGAAGAAGATGTTCTTTTCTAATATCAAGTCATCGTTTTTAGAAATTCTCAACTTAAATTTACAAAATCTAGAACAAGACTTTTCAAGTGCAATTCTGGAAGAATTTGAGTCATCAGCATGTTGCCCAATTGCTTTAACTTTCAGCAACTCATGAAGTTCATATCTCTTTTAATGGTATTCACGATGTTTCCTGTGGTCTCAAAGTTTTCTTGCCAATATTTGAACCAAGCCTTAAAATCCACAAAACCTTTGTAAGGATGATTTAAAAAGCATCTATTACCTCTTCTGTGACTCCTGCATCCTTTCAGAGAAGGTAATCATTTATGTATACATTCTGCAGACTGAAGATTCGTTAGCATGTGACCATTATGCTTATCATTCAGCCCATATGGGTATGTTGTTTTATGCAGAATCATTTGCTTATTTTCAATTATTAGGCGCTCATTGTCATTTTCAACAAGATCCAAGATATGTATTGAGATGTTGTCAAATGGATGGTTTTGGAAGTGTTTTATTTCAGCATCCTTTCCCCTAAAGTGCTTAATATGAGATCTATGATTATTAATGCGGAGGTTAAGGGTTGTGCTAGTCTGACCTACATAACCCATTCCATCCCATATATATATATATATATATTACATTTATGAAACTGTGTTTCTCTCATAGGAATGGTAGGGTGATTTTTTTAAATTTGCCTCATATACGAGAATCTTGAAAACTGTTCAAGATTCTTGAAGTATGACAAGACAATTTGTCAAGACACTTCTTCCAACATTTGATGGATCGCTGCAGCTGTATTGACCATTTTGAGACAAAATGTGATACAGCATTGCTTCACTCTGGGAATAAGACGTGCTATACACACTGAGTTACTACAGTGCCAGCCAAACTCTCATTCAAGATGCTAGTCAGATGAGGACTGACACTACACTGCCCAACAGTTTAATCTATTAGTCCATGGAACGTAAATAATTTTTGCAATATTGACAGACTCACAAAAAAATCAGTCCTGGAACTTTACTGCCACACCTCGTCCAAAAGAAAAAAGCTACAACATAAAAAAATGTATTTGATACTTTTCAGGATATGCTGTGCTTGTAAATGGATGGAATCTCTTAAGGATAAAAATGCATGGCACAAAAAAATTTTTAAAGTTAAATTCTGGTTTCAAAAAAAAAATTATCACTGACTTGTTTGGTTTATTTGTAGGTCATATTGGGTACACAGCCAACAATATTGCGCACTTTCAAGTCCTTCAGTCAGAATAGTCTGCAGGCTACAAATGTGTTTGCTTGCTCTGATCGTCCTGCAGTCATCTATTCCTCTAATCACAAGTTGGTCTTCTCCAATGTGAACCTGAAAGAAGTGTCATACATGTGCCCTCTTGATGCCAAAGGATATCCAAACAGGTTTGTCCTGAAAGCTGCCCATGAAGGAAAAGCCCTTCACACTTTCCTGGAACAAGGTACTTCTCTATAAGCTTGATTATGTATTCTTACTTATTCCAGTTTGGTGCTTGCCACAGAGAACTCCCTCACCATTGGGACAATTGATGAGATACAGAAGCTCCATATTCGTACAGTTCCTCTAGGAGAAACTCCAAGGCGAATATGCTACCAAGAACAAACCCAGGTATGCAGTTTTGTCAGTTGGCATAGTACCTAAAGAAAAAAAAGATATTCCCCTATAATTTCCTGGATTGCCACCAGGCCTTGGAAAGCTTTTACTTGATCAACACAAAGACAACGATTGGAGCCAGATGTTCTCAGGTGAAACCTGTTATTGATTGTTCAGAAATACAATACATCAGTAGTCCAAGAACACTCAAAAGAAGCCCAAGAGAATTTCCAAAAACAGGCAGAGGATGATTGTTTGGGAGCCTTCAGCATTAAAAACCAGGTAATATGCCATTCATTCCTGAGGATCATGGATGACCTATGCTCAAATTCTTCAAGAACATACATTTCCTGGTGCAAAAAGACAGTTTGGACCATGGTGGCAATTCCAGACAATGATCCAAAGCACACCAGTAGGGTAGCAAAATCATTTTTAGAACAGCATGCACCTGAAATGATCGACTGGCCACCAAACAGTCTGGATGTAAATCCAACTGAAAACTTGTGGTCATCTTAAAGTGATGCTTGGAGAAACAAAGACTGAAAAATCTTGACAAATTGAACCAATTCTTGGATGAAGAATGGCAATGAATTGACATGTTGACCATAAGTCATTTGATCACATTGATGTGAGAGATGTTTGGCTCTTATTGATTCTGAGGGAGATCAAATCAATTATTGACTATTGTATTTCTATAGAATGTTGTATGGGGAATCTATGGAAAAAAAATTGCTTTGAAATTCATTGCTTCCAGCAGTAAAAATTCATAAAAATTTGGTGGAAATTTTTTCACACTTCACTGTTTATGTGTGAGTTTGACCAGACACCAGACTTACTCTTCTCTTCACAAAGGAAAGGAACTGGTGCTTCTGACTTCTTCCATGCAAAATAAAATCACAATGATAGATTACATGATTAAATGTCCCTCTGTGGCTGAGATGAGTTATGGCAATTATGGCATTGGGCATGCCTTTGGACTTCAACTACCTCTTCTAAGAAAACACCAGCTCAGCTCTGGACACTTCCTGGTGGCAAAAATCTACAAACTGTGTGAGTTGATGCAGAAGTCTCTCCCTGCAGCTGACACCTGTTTGAATCAAAGCCTGGCATTAGGCATCTGGCAGAAGTTTCCTTCTCTTTTTTCCTAAGGCCATAGATTTGCACTGTCTGGCAGAGATAAGTTTCTTGCTGTGCTTAGTTTGAGCTGGAGCTGCTCAGTTCTGGTACCATGAAATAATACCAGAGCTCAGCTCCTATTCCTTGATGCCCCTGTTATTCTTTCCCACTTCATGGTTTTAAAATATTTGAAAAGTAAAAAACTGACAGTGCTTCATTTGTGTTTGAAAATTGAGATTTTAGTCAAATATTGGACACAATAAAAAAATTGAATTGGACACAGCCCCTTAGACCCCCCCCCCCCATTTAAAACTATATACAGGGTGTCCATGAAAGATTCATACAACTTTTATCTTTAACCCTTATCCGGGCAAGGGGGCTCCGTTGGACCCCCAGACCTCAATTTTTCTAAACAGCATTCAAACCATTGCTGACACTTTCCTGTGATTTTTAGTATTTGTCCTTCTAGTTAAGAAGACTCTGATGCTGGAACATCACCAACCTGAAAAATTTCTAAATGTAAGAAAAAATTATTTTTTGATTGGAATAATGTAACTGTCAATTGGACCCCTACTACTTTCCAAGTACACATACAAAATTTTATCCCCTGATTCCTCCATATTTCCCAGCTTTATCACCTAGTGTTTGCCTGAATGACCTTCTGACAACTAGAGTAAGAGAAAGAAAGGGAGGTAAGAGGGTGAATCCCTGATTCTATCTTAGGTGCATGGGATAGGATTCCACCCCAAGCAGGATCTTCCGAAGAGATGAGTCGCTAAGGTTAAACTCGGGTAATCCTAAAATAATGCTGCCCGAAACACATTCGCACTTGCCTTTTACATCCTTGTGGGATGTGTTGGAACAACGTTATTCCCCATATGGTTCGGTATGAGCATTTTCATGTCGTCAAGTCGGTCTCACCCAGTGTTAGTGATTCGGCTCCATCTGAAAATTTTCCTTCATGTCGTGTTGTTATTTGTTTTGTTTTTTCACATTAGGCTAAGTTTGTCTTTTGGTCTATGGGCTTTTGATCATGAAACTAAGAATGGGCTAATGCAAAAATACATTCAGAAATCTGAGACTAATGATCAGACAGCAAAGCCATAAGCTTATATACCTCATAAATAAATGTTTGCAACAATTTCATGATGTGACTTTCTTGTAAGTTAAGCTTTTATTCTTGGTCTGGGACCACATCACCTTATTTTATTTGTTAAATTAGGATTAATGTTACTCCAATCATATAAGGTGAACATTACATCATGTGTAAAAAGAGACGGTAAATCAGATGTGAAAGGTGCCCCAGAGGTAACAAATTGTGAATTACAAGTGAAAGGTGAATATAAGTGCAGGTATAACACAGTTTAAAAAAACACAGGTGAGAAAGAGGGGAACTGTAAAACTGAGGTATATTACAGGTAAGAATGCTATAAAAAATATCGCTGTGAAATTCGGTAGCAGTGGAATTCAGACAGTGAAACAGGTAAACAAAAATCAGAAATTTTCCCATTTTTAGACCTTTGTTTTAACATCCAAATATTACCTGAGGTAAAAAAAAATTGTTTGGGATGCAAAATAATGTTGCATTACTTTTGATATTCACCGGAATCAGTAAAATAAAGACATTGCTTTGTGGTAAGCATGATTTTGCTTTCTGTTTACCCCCACTATATACTTTAAGTAATGGGGGCTACAATGGACCCCCCCCCCCTTGCCTGGTTACGTTTATCTATTACCTTGCCCAGATAAGGGTTAATAAATCATGAACAAATGAATGCACATATATGTGGTTTGCAGCAATAGAAAGCTTGATATTTCAAGTTTTATTGCACACATTTCAAATTTTAAACTAAAATTTTGATAGCTTCACAAGAGAAGGCAAAGGCACGTTGTGGTTTGCCGAGTTGAAGTCAGTCATACAGGTGTAGCACTAGTTCAGAACTGTATACAGCAAGGATCCTCTTGTCTGTGTTTCAACATACCAATAGATGAAGCAATTTAAGGACACAGGAATTTTGCTGAAAGAGAAGAACTAGTGTGGCATCTGCAATTCTCTACTAGCACAGCACACAGACCATCTTGGGCATCAAAGACTTTCTGTACACATTCAACATCGGCATCTGATGTTGAACTTGTATGGGAATGGGAAAGTGTTGGGCCTACAATAGGTTCTCACGAACAAGAGGATTCTTGCTGTAAACAGTTCTGAATTTATGTTGTGCCTGTATGACTCACCGACTTCAACTCTACAAACCAAAACACACTCTCACCCTCTTTTGTGGAATTGCCATTTCCCTTCCAGGAAGCTGAAAAATAGTTTTGACAATTTATTTTAAAAATTTAAATGCATGTAATAAAACTTGAAATAACAGGCTTTAGTTTGCTGCAAACCACATATATGTATGTTTATTTGTTCACGATTTATTAAATATTAAAATTGTATGAATCTTTTATGGACACCCTGTGCAGTGAGCTTCAGTACTCATAGAAACTAAGTACTGATTTTTTCTTTCCCTTTGGCAAAACCCCAACATCCTCTCAGCTTATGGCATTCTGCCTGTTGTTTTAGCAAAAACTTATGTATGCATCTGGCCTTCACTACATGTAGAAAATGAAAAAAAAGTAATTAGAGTAATTAAAAAGTAATTAAAAACCCATAAATTGCCTAAGGTGGTGTGAAAAAAGTTAATGATAGTGAAGAATGTTGGATTGTAATTGGCTTTTCCCTCCATCTATTATGTCTCACAATTGACATTGGCACCATGACTAGCCAATGTGTATGATACCATAATAGAATTAGTAGAAAACAGCCCTCACTATTCTACTTTTTGATCCACCCTTTGAATTGAGAAATCTCCATTAGTTTTAATATGACTTATCTTGAGGTGCATATATAGTCAACTAAAACACATGGGGAATATGAAGTCCAAACATTGTGATTGATGTGAATAGATGTGAAAACATATTCTTGAATGACTGTTTATGCAGACATTTGGTGTAGCAACAATGAGGACGGACACAGCAGCAAGTACAGGTACTGTGCCTGTGAGACCATCAGCTTCTACAATGGCAATGAGCACCAGTTCAAGTTCCTCATTACCTGCTATGAAGCATGGTTCTACCACAACTGAACAAGGAGCTGATGTTGAAGTACACAACTTCCTCGTTGTTGACCAGAATACTTTTGAAGGTGTGTTTTCTGCCATTTATATTCAAAATTGAGGTTCCTGTTGCCCATCATATATGAGGGTCAGTCAAATGAAAACAAGAAAATCATGATATATAATAATCCTTTATTAATAGATGTCCAGTATTACCATGGTGTGCTTACAGAGTTTGTGTGAATATTTGTCATAGCAGGAAGCACTGTGCTGTTAGAAATAACAGCACAATGGCTTAAGCAGCATGGTTTTCACAATGCTTGGTGCATCCGAGGAAACCCAGTGTACTCTACTTCAATTTCTGACTGCTGAAGGCATGTCAACCATCAATATTTATTCCCAAATGAGTGCTGTTTCCACCAACAATTGTTTGTCATCACCATTAGTGCACGAGTGGTGCAAACATTCCTGAAGTGGAAATGGGAGTTTGAAAGATGTCTCAAGCCTGGGGCAAGCCAATGTTTTCATCACATAAACGAAGATCACAAAGGTGGAGGAGCTTATACAGCAATAGAAATGTTTCATTGAATGAATTGGCTGCAGAGTTGGCAATCGGTCATAGTGTCATTTACGCCATAACCAGTGTCTGAATTCCAGAATTGCCTAGTGTTTCTGCTTGGATGATGAAGTGCAGGAGACAGTCACATTGTGGTGCAAACAACAACCACAGAAATTTTATGAGACTGGTATAATTAATATTGTAAAGCATTAGGATCTGTGCCTCAACAATGGTGGGGAATACTATAAAGCACTCACTCCCATGAAAACAGTAATTCTCATTTTCATTTGACTGACCCTTGGATATTGCAACTAGTTCTTTGTACCTGATATTTTCTGCTGTATCTGAAACTAAGGACTGCTGGGAAAAAAAGTAGGATTTGGATGATACATAAAGGTGCAAAAGTCATGAGATATCCCATATTCACATTAACCCTTTCACGTCGGGATTGTTTTGGGTCAAAAATCAATTTTCAGAAAAAGTTTTTATTCTGATATCTTAGCATCAATCTTTTGGTCAGAAAGCTTCAAAAGTGTGAAATTGGGCAAAGCAAGGGTCAATACATAGGCCAACGTTACATGAAATACACTCATAGTATGTGTCTCTTCGAACTTTAGGTCTTTAGGTACCTAATCCTGCAGGACGTGTATACGCGTCACCCGATGTCAAAGGGTTAAAGAAGCTCCATGTGAAACGTTATAGCTCAAGTGCTCTATTGTTCCATGTAATACCCTTCTTGGGCCATGCATTTTTCCCATTTGTGTACCAATGCACAGAACAAGGTATTATGTGAGCTGTTGCACCCATCTATTGAAAAACAAGGTCACTTTGACTCAGTTGACAGATTGGTAAGGAAGGAGAGCCTCCTTCAGTGACGAGTTTCTGAAAAGCAGGAGCCAGGTCAGGTGAATACAGTGGATGAGGCAGAATGGTGTATCTAAGCTCCTGAATGACCATGGTACACACATGGCCTGTCTGAAGTCAAGCTTTGTTGTAATTGTTGAGCTTGGATACAATATGCTGCCTCATTCACTCTATTCATCCAGCCTGGCTGTTCTTGATTTCCTCCAGTTCTCATTGCTGAAGGAGGAGGCTCTCTGTGACTGTTGATTCTTGACATGCTGAGGTCATCCAGTTTGTCAATAGGTGGATGTGACATCCTGCACAAGACATTATTGGCAGTTTAATGCATGGTGTTAAAAAAGAAAGTCATCCCTAAAATAATATTTTAAATAGATAGTACAGCACTACAAGTAGAGATTGTTGTAAACCAAATGAAAGAGGACAAAGTTTTCTTCTCACACATGGATTTTCATCTATGTTGAACAATTTTAGCCCTTGTGGCAGCAATTTCAAAAATTTTGTTTGCAATTACCACTGCCTGTTTGCATACACTTAAAGATGTGGCCCCCACTGCTGTATGCCAGCATAGATAAACCCTCGTAAGAAGGTATTCCATGTACAAAGGAGCCTTGCCTTTGAGTCTTAATGGTGGTTGATGTCAGGCAGGTTGCAATGATGCATTTTCTCTACAGTGATTGCCCAAATATAGAAATTTCTCAGGTTAAGGTCATGGTGAATGAACTCCAGCACATCAAATATGCAGTTGCATTGCTGTCATGGTGGGCAGGAGTAATGCCTTGATGGAATCCATATAGGTCTATGGATGCACCACAGATGTTTGGGAGCAATTCTTGTTCTTGTTAAACATCACAGTAATATCAACCATTAACTTTTGTACCATGCTAAAAAAATTGCATGGTGATCTTCCCATGTTGTTGATTACAAAGCTAATTGTAACATTTATACTGAATGTTGACTGGTCTCTTGTGAGACAATTGACTGGGAGATTTTTTAAAGTTTTCTTGGGTGCATTGAGGCAAGAGGATCTTACCAGTTGTTTTTGTCATTGTGCAGCTGACAGCAGTTGCTCTTTTTTTTTGCTGCAAGTGAGATGCAAGTCCATAATGGTGATCTGCAAAACAGAGGGCTGGAAGATTCCTGTTGCATGTGTAATTTCTCTTTAAACCAGATGAGTTTTAAGCCTGTCCTCTTGGGTTCAACCAGACTCATAAACTTTTACAATGTTTTTCCCATGCCAAGCAGTTCTTATCCAACCACTGCAATGCCATTGGGTAGCCAAACTAGTTGTGTTAATTTTGTCAGTCATATCTCAGACCTCATGTGCAGTCCATGGCTTGTCTGGAAATTCCCATAACAGTTGCTTTGTGCCATAACTGAATGACTCATGGAGTTTGTTTTATCAAGGTGTATGATGTATGATGGCATCATAGTACTAGCAGAGTCAAGTATGAAATTCAACTAGCAACCTAAAAAAATGAATCACAGATGCTCAAAAAGTGAGTGTGATTCAGACAGCCAATGTTCATTCCATTCTCCTGTCTTTTGGACCATACCTATGCTCCAGGCATTCACTACTTTTTTCTCTCACCTTTTTGATGCAAAGTAGTGCATTATTGGCTGGGGATAGAGTAGTGCCCTTCAGATCATTTACTCAGAATTTCATTCACTTTCAACTGCTGGGTAGTTGCTTTTTTACCTGCTAAAAATACTTTTCAAGGTTGCCTCTTTTTTTTTTATCGCTGTGTATACATAGATACTTCTTATATTGTATATTTATCCTGCATGACAAATATTAAATGAATTACTAAAAAATAGTTTTAAAATTTTGTATGGCATCCATATTGAAAATATGAAGCACCACTTGCTATATTAGGGGCTTGTCCACATCTTCCGCATAGCAGAGCGTAGGTTGTCTTAACTTAGCAAAAGTGTCCTTGTGTGGTGCAAACTAGGGCCTGAGCCTCTACTTATGACCAGCCAATCAGGGCAACCAATAAATGACCAAGAATTGGGATTAAATGGAGAAATAAAGCATGTGTCTTGATAAGTTCAGTATAGTGGTTATTTATTGTTGTTACAGATTTTCTCATGACTTATGCAGCATCCCCTCATGCATGTGAGCATCAAAATTGAGAACATGAAAATATTTCAAGATAAAGTCTGTCTATACATTATCTGAAGAAAGAAAGTGCATGAAGAAGCAGTTGCTTTATGTTTGTCCATTTATTGCTTGTCGTGAATATCTTGTGATCTTTATCCTCTTGCAGTGCTACATGTGCATCAGTTCATGCATAATGAGTATGTGCTGAGTGTTGCTTCAGCCCGGTTGGGAGAAGATCCAAACACATATTACATAGTGGGGACTGCACTTGTGAATCCTGAAGATGAAGAGCCTACTCAGGGACGCATTGTCATATTTCACTGGAATGAAAACCGCCTCAACCTGGTCACAGACAAGGAAGTGAAGGGAGCCTGTTATGCTCTACTTGAGTTCAATGGGAAAGTCCTGGCTGCTGTCAATAATAAGGTATGAGCTACTTCCTCTTGCAACTTAATTAATCATATTTGGAAGACATAGATAATCCAGATGCTAGTAGTTTTGATTTATGAGTTTCTTGCTCATCTGTTTACATGGGTGTTCATGTGGATGCTTAGCTAGGTTAATCTTAACCCTTTCCTACCAGTTTAATTCTCCATAGGTGACATCAAGAGATGTTGCGTTCAGGTAGGGCATTGCAGTATGCAATATACGAGGGGTCCTGCATAAGTTTCTGGACTTTTCAATTTAAAATAAACGCAGATTTTTCTTCATATTTTTCTCTGAAACTGTGTTTATTTAGCACTTTTCAGCATAACCACCACCAATATCAATGCACTTTTGAATGTGCCAGAGGCAACTTTGAAAACAGTGTTAAAAATAATATTTTTTGAGCTGTTTCAACTGATTCTCGACCGCCTCAATAATTTCTTCTTGGGTTCCAAAGACTTTTCCTCACAAATGTTCCTTCACTTTTGGAAACAGCCAAAAGTCGCAAGGTGCTAAATTCGGTGAGTAAGGTGGCAGCTCAATCAGCTGGATCAGCTGGTTTGTTCACAAAAGGGGTGGTGCCACCACTCAAGGCCATCCGAGCAAAGTCCTTGTGTGCTGTGATGGTGATGTTTGCTGTTTTCTTCACTTCTGATCACTTCGTGGCAGCTGTACTGCTTGAGGAAGGCAAAACAGTGACTTTGAAATGGTTTATGGAAACGTGCCTGCTGGTCATTTTTAAAAAGTTGCTGAGAGGTTGCCCCAAGTCTGAGCTGGGCAAGAACTTTCTGCATCATGACAATGCACCAGTGCACTGGGCAACCAACACCCTACTCTTCGTTGGTGTCTCTGGGATCCAGCTGATTAAGCCGCCACCTTACTCACCAGATTTGGTGCCTTGCGACTTTTGGCTGTTTCCAAAAGTGAAGAAACATTTGTGAGGAAAAGTCTTTGGAACCCAAGAAGAACTGATTGATGCAGTGGAGAATCAGCTGAAACAGCTCAAAAAAGACTATTTTTAACACTGTTTTCAAAGTTGCCTCCGGCACCTTCAAAAGTGCATTGATATTGGTGGTGGTTATGCTGAAAAGTGTTAAATAAACAGTTTCAGAGAAAAATATGAAGAAAAATCTACGCTTATTTTAAATGGAAAAGTCCAGAAACTTATGCAGGACCCCTCGTATTGAGTGGCAGGTATACTGTGGCTCAATACTGCAGTATGTTGGTGATACTGGTGAGGAGCAGGGCGGATACTTCAGTTATGAACTCCTAGAGAAAAAATAGCCAAGAAGAGAGCAAGGGGTTTATTGTGATGGTATTGAGCTAGTCACACATCCATATGCCGTTTCATTGAAAGCAAGAGGATTCGTCCCATTTCACCCCAAATGGAGGAATTCAGTAGGCATGCTGCAGAATAATATTGCAATTAAAGCTGTTGGGAGGACTCAAATTATGAGTCTTGGAAAAATGCATTAGGGAAGAGGAACCACCTTATCGTTGTGCATAGCCACATGTTTCATATCAGTATTGAGTGCTTAGGCTCACCGAGCAGAGGGTACAGTCAAGGCAAGTGGAACCCGCAGATGGTTGATCTTGGTCCTTAGTCTGGATTAAATACACTCTGGTGACTTTCTGGAAGGCTTCAATTTTCCCCAGATGGTGGACGTCACTGTGGATGGAGATGGGGAGGATAGTTGACAAATAATTTTATTCTTAGAAATGGCTCGTGGTATGTTGCTGTGGTGGTGGTATGATGAGAGGCTGTGTCCTATGACTTCCATACTGTGGTGATGGTATGAACATGGCAGTACTCCATGGTTTACATACCATGGTGATAATACTGAAAAAATATACAGGGTGGTCCAAAAGTCTCCATACATAGGGAAAATTAACACTTTAAAAAAGTGTAACTTTATTTTCTAAATATGCTCTACATACATATTGAATTATTTTTCTTTTTTCAAATACCCTTTAAGAATTCCTTTGTCAAAAGAACATGAATCACCTAAAGGAACACATTCGAAATGCAATTTTGTGCATAACACCAGATGTATTAACGTGAGTTCACCATGAATGGGAAAGTCGCATCTGTTTGTGTTTTCAAAGTAATAGCAACCATGGAGAGCATATTTTGTGAATAAAGTTACTTTTTTTTTTTTAGTATTAATTTTCCCTATGTATGAAGACTTTTGGACCACCCTGTAGAAGGGGTTGGTATGATTATCATGAGAACCAAATACTGAGGTATGATGAAAATACTGTTATACTGCAATGCCCTACTTTCAGGTATGAAATGACATTCCTTCCTTTGCCATTTTTGCTCACAGGGCCTCTGGTTTGACTTGCAGGTGGGAGACTCACATGCAGCATCCAAAATATCTACAGAAATCTTGTTCTTGAAAAGTGGTGTTGAATGGGTTCCAACCTGGATAGGTTCAAACTTGTTAGCATTGCATCCAGAAAATTTGGTTATGATTACACTCATGAGCTGAATGTTTATGCAAGATAAGTAATGCACCATGATGATAATGATAGGTATTGAGTGTGATAGTTGATTGAGATTACTAATGCTGCAGCTGTCATTGCCCAAACCACATTAAAACCCTTGATGAATTCAATCTGCTGTTGTTCAGAGGTTATTTCAGTGTTCAGTGTGATATTGGTATTGTTATTTCCCCCCTTAAGCTTCTCTCATTCATTGGGGCCTATTGATCCATCCATCCATCCCATCCACATATATATCTCCTATTCCATTTCAGATACGCCTCTTTGAATGGACACAAGAAAAAGAATTGAGGTTAGAATGTACTCATCACAACAACCTCGTGAGCCTTTATTTAAAAACAAAAGGTGACTTTATCCTTGTTGGAGACCTCATGAGATCCATGGCTCTTCTCACATATAAACCTCTGGAAGCCTCTCTGGAAGAAGTGAGTCCCATCTCCCTCTTCTGTATGAAAATATTTGCATTGCTGAAATTTTGTGCCTATGTGTGGATGGCATCATGCATGCTCTGTGCTTTTCTGGGGAGATTTGCATCTATGCATATTTGGTGAAGACAAGGACTACACTCATGTAGTAATTGTTAGGTTGGACTTGGATAATTCCTTTGCAAATACATCATTCCAAAAAACAAACAAAAAACAGATCAGGAAAAAACAGCTGGGTGCTGGATGGACCCTTCCATTTTCCTCTTGATTGCACTTTCCTTCCCTTTGCAAAACCAAAAATTATTTTATTTAGGGCTGTCAATCGAAGTGTTTGATTAATCGTGAGCCACTTAATTGATTAATCAGTCAATTAATCAAATTTTAATAAATCTCTTAATTCCTCCTTGATTCATGCCCTAGGCATTGGGAATGATTCTGCTTGTGTCATGTCTAACACCTAGGCAATCCTTAGTAAGTGACTCAAGGTGATGCAGTTGCTAACATAGCAAATACTATCTATACATACACTAGTTCATCCTAAATGTGATACATTCCAATCAGAAAGAAAATAGTTACAACTTAGCTAGATAAATAATGAAACTTGTAGAAGCACAATGAGGCCCTTTGCCACTTTGTTTTCACACTTTCCTTTCCACTTCTCTTGCCTGCCCTGGCTTTCCCCCTCTCTTGGTTACTTTCTGGGGGCTCCCACAGATGTTCACCGGTGCACTTGCATGTATGCCTCACACTCCCCAGTCTACAGGGTGTCTGAAAAGTCTCTCCCTATTTTTAAATTGTTATTGCTCCTAAACCAAAGGAGATATTAAAACATTTCTTTAACTGAATTGGAGCTTATTTTTTACCATTTACTTTATAGCAAAATTGAAAAGCTTTATTACAAAGTTAAAATTCAACATAGTCTCCAGCATTGTCCACACATATCTGTAACCTTACCGGTACATTTTCAACAGATTTTCTCAAGAAGTCACCTGGTGCATTGCCTAGAATATCACAAATTTTGTTTTCAAGTTCATCAATGGTCCTTGGTTTTTATTTTAACACGTTGGTGACAATGTGTCCTGATGCCAGGATGCAGATTTTTTTCAATGAATACCCTCTGGAACTGTTGAGAACGTTCCAGAAGATTATGATTTCATAATTACTGATAAAAATAAAAAAAAAATTCAACATTTTAAAAATACTCGCAAAAAAAATGTTTTCTGGGACCATGCGTCCTGATGGCAGGACACATTTTTTGACAAAAAAAATGCGCGTGGTCCCACGCGGCGGACAAGCAAAAATAGGCTGGTTGTCAACGTGTTAAAACTAATTCTTTCGCCCAACCCCACAGAAAGAAGTCACATGGCGTTAAATCTGGACTTGGAGCAGGCCATTCCGTTGGCCCTCGACGACCTATTAAATTAAGTTGCTCATTCTTCTATGCTTAATTTTTCAGCCATTATTCACTTATAATAGAAATGGTAATGCTTAAAGCTTAAAACAGTGAAAGAACGGTTACAATATCGCCTTCAGTTTAGGAGCAATAGCAATTTAAAAAGAGGGAGTGACTTTTCAGACACTTTAAAAATTAATCATAGAACGAGCGACTTAATTTAATAGGTTGTCAAGGGCCAACGGAATGGCCTGCTTGAAGTCCAGATTTAATGCCGTGCGACTTCTTTCTGTGGGGTTGGGTGCAAGAATTAGTTTTAAAATAAAAACCAAGGACCATTGATGAACTTGAAAACAAAATTTGTGATATTCTAGGCAATGCACCAGGTGACTTCTTGAGAAAATCTGTTGAAAATGTACTGGTAAGGTTACAGATATGTGTGGACAATGCTGGAGACTACGTTGAATTTTAACTTTGTAATAAAGCTTTTCAATTTTGTTATAAAGTAAATGGTAAAAAATTAGCTCCAATTCAGTTAAAGAAATGTTTTAATATCTCCTTTGGTTTAGGAGCAATAACAATTTAAAAATAGGGAGTGACTTTTCAGACACCCTGTACATCATGCTCTTTCTTGCCTCTCCTGTCCCATGTCCCTGCCCAACTCTATTTTCCTTCTGTGCTTTCCCTTGCAGCTCTTTCATTACGACTTTCTTTTCCCCATTCATATCCAGTGGTTTATCTGTTGCTTTGCCATAGGCCTGCTACCTTAGCCTGACATGCTAGGCCTGCAAGGTTATGCCTTTAAAAGCCATAGGCTAGGCAGAAGGACGCAGGATGCATACCAGTATACTTGCAGATGTGAAAGGGTCTGGAAGCTTCTTTTTGGAATAGTCTGAAAGCAAAGGCTTTGTTTTTGGGTGTTCCCTTTTTCCAAAAATAGTGTTGTTTTTTGTGGAAGAGTGAGCAGTTCAAAAACAACTACCTTCTATAAGCCATCATTAAATTTCATTTCCTTGATAAAGCATTTGTTTTCAGTTAATTTGAAAAACTATGAATTACACTGTAAAATTAGAAGGGAAAAAGAGGCATTCAAAGGGAGATAAGGAGCCAATCAAAATTTGCTTAATTTCAACTAATTTTAAAATTGCAATTAATTTTTAATCGATTAATTGGTCAATTAATCTAATAGAATTGACAGCTATAATTTTATTATCTTTCAAATATCTTACTTTGGATTGAATGCATAAATCCCATCTCTCCACCCAATTTGCATGCACATGATCCAGCCCATACTTTGTAAGCTCTTTCAGCTGCACCTCCACAGACTTTGAGACTTGGCTGGGTTTTTTTTGTTTTTTTTTTGGAGTGAGGTCTGGGCTGTAAAGTGGTTAGAGAACAGTGCATTGTCATGTTGGAACAGCCATTTCCTCTTTCATAGTTCAGGTGATTTTTTACTCATGAGCATTTGGCTGGCTGAAAATGGCATTTGCACTGTTCTCCATCAGCCAGAATCTCATTCCAAATGGTATTTCACTACACTCAAATGTCAAGGCTGACCCTAGAGGAATGTGATTTTATGACCGAAATCAAGTCTGGAAGGTTGTTGAAGGTTGTCAGCATGGGCAGCTGAAAAAATTTTTGAAGAATGGACAGGTTCACATGTTTGCAAATTTGGTAGAGAGATGAGATACATGTTTTCAATCCCAAGGAGGATCCATTTATAAAGAAAGAAAATGTGAATTTTTGGAAATGAAAAATCTGCTCCTAAATAATAATCATCATGCCATTATTTGTTTACACTCTTTATCTACATTATAATATCAGTTAACCAAATTACCTAACTATGAAGGAGTGGTCATATGAAGGTGAGAATAGTCTCATGTCACAGTCTGTAGGCTTGCACAAAAAATAATACAAAATTTTATTTGATTTTTTACTTTAAAAGTTTATTTTTTTCCTGATGCTACTTCTTCAGTGCTCTCTCTTGGATTGAACTATGCAGTCTCTTCAACCTCAACATTGCCCTCTACATCTGATTACTAATTGTATTTTCTCTTACTAAAAATTAAAAATGAACTCTCTGTTGTCATTCTCAGTTGTCGACTGACATTTTTTTACCCATGAAGCGGATCCAGTGGAACTTGGGTGTGGTCTAGTAATGTACAGGGTGTCCCATAAGTCAAGCATCATAGGGAAATTCACATTTTATAATGACACTGAAAAACATATGTTTAACATGTTTGCCATTATTCTTAATGTGTTTTCTCAAGCAATGTTACCATTCTGCTTGAACATTCCTCAACTTTGCGTTATTGGTTGCCAATACAGATAGTCATTATTAAATCTCTCAGCAACCTCTCACTGACTGTGTCCCACACATTTGTCCGTGCTTATTGACATCTTCCACTATCAGTTTCAATGCTCAAATCCTGGAGAAAAAAAAAAAAAACAAAAAAACAAACAAAGCAAAAAAACTGAAATGACAGAAATCAAGATTTGAATTTTCCCATGATGCTTGACTTATGTGACACCCTGTATACTGAATCAGAGGTGAGGGAGAGAGCTTACCTACAGTTCAGGATTTTCTGTGATTGTGACAATTTCAAGCCAGGAATGGAAAGGAAGGGTCAGTCAGAAAGAGTAACTATATCCAGCCAAGGTGATCGGAGGAGTGATTTTTGGGGGGGGGGGGATGGGGAATGAGATAGTAATTTGCCATTTATTTTCCTGATTGTATAAAGGACTATAAAATTAAATCATGAATAAGATTTTATGGTCTTTCTGAGAATGACTGGCTCATGACTCATGGCTCAGTGTCCATGTCATGGACACTGTCCGCTATAACATTGGTGTCCAATAGGATTTTGATGCTCACCAAAGTTGTGGCAATCAGGTCACCATATTCACTACATGATGCAAAATATATGCAATATTGATGAAAAGAATGTGTCTGAAGAAAAAATATAACTTATGAAGAGCATCAATTCACCACGTGGTGAGTGGCTAACATATTGGACACCATGGCGCTATAAGATAAAAAGCGGATGTCCACTACTTTTTTTGTCACAGAGACTTCCAGTTTCACTGAACTTTTTGAAATTGTCATGGGTTGTGTTTTCAATTACAGTCTCACCAGGGTGCACTCACTGGAATTCATGTATGGTTTGTACTGCAGATTCAAGCTTACCTATCTGCTGATTCATTTTGACTCATTCTGATGTCAGCAATTTTTAAGTCTAACCTGGAACATATCTGAGAAACAAAAATTGTTGCCAGAAAAATTTATTATGAGTGATGTTTACAAAGTTCTGGGAATTTTGTTCTATCACTGCAACGGCTGATGAAAGCCTACTGCAAAGTTGGTCACACATGCTTAGGCTTGCCATAAACATGACTTCAAAATATTATTCACTGGGCATGCATCAGTAAGAAGCTGTCAGTGTTCATGTAGGGTACACTTTGTCTGTCATGGAAGAGGTGGTAAATTCTCAAAGAGCTATCATTTTATTTTTATGGAAGGAAGGTGTTAGGAAGCATGAAATTATTCAACATTTGAAAGCTGTTTTTGGTGAATCTTCTGAATCTAAAAGTACTGTCTATTGCTGGATCAATTGCTTTAAGAATGGAAGAACGAGCCCTGAAGATGACCCCTGCAGTGATCAACCAAACACTGCTGTTAATGAAGAATATGTCATTGTTGTGGAGAAAATTCTAATGGAAGACAGATGAATCATCATTCGCAAGATTGCAGCAAGTGTATGCATCAGTTTCAGAAAAGTTAATGAAATTCTACACAACTGTCTTGGAGTGAGCAAGGTACCACAAGGTATGATGGGTACCACAGCTGTTGAGGCTGAAACAAAAACTCGATCATGGGGAGGTTTGTTCCAAGTTGTTGGCTCTACATGAACAATTTGGGTTTAGTTTCTGGCAACAAATCATCACGACAGATGAGACTTGGATACCTTACTTTAATCCACAAACAAAAATTCAGTCCATGGAATGGCAGCGATCTTCTGATGGCCCTCTGCTTAAAGCAAGGACTATGCCATCAGTTGGTAAGGTTATGATAACAGTGTTTTGGGATTGCCAGGGAATAATCATGATTGATTATATAGAGAAAGGTTCCACAATAAATGCACGATATTACTCTGATTTGCTGAAGGGACCACTGCATGAGGTATTCAAGAAAAAACGGCCAGGAAAGCTCCATTCCCAACCATTACTGCAGGAAGACAATGCGAGGCCACACACTGCTCATCTTACAGAGGCCATTTTGTCAGATATGCGCTGGGAATTCCTGCCATGCCTGCCATATTCTCCAGACCTGGCTCCCAGCGACTATCATCTGTTTAGGGAAATGAAGAAACCTCATCAAGGAATCCATTTTGAGTCTTGATCTGAAGTTAAAGCAGTGATAAATGAATGGATAGAATGTACTACACAAAAGTTCTTTGAAGATGGACTAAAAAAATTAGTTACTCACTGGCACAAATGTATTCAGCTAAATGGTGATTATGTTGAGATATTGCACTGTAATATCAAAGAAGATTAGCCTAATAAAAAATTGGCACACAAATTCCCAGAACTTTGTAAACACCCATCATAGATAGCAGATTAACATACATTTTACAGATCCAAAATATCTTATGTCACTCCCAAATTACAGTAATATCAAATCCCCAAGTAACTAAAGGGACACCCTTTATAATATAATTTTAAAAGCTAAAGAAATTATGATTGCACAACAGCTTCTATTTAGTGACTTCACTGGGGAACCACTGTGACACTACAAAGGGACTCTAACTTAGGTAATTGTCATGCTCTATGTATTTCATTATGAAATAAGTTTTTTCCTTTTTTTTTTGTGCTTGAGCTCATAAATAATTGTTTCCACCAGAAGTAGAGGTCACAATGTAAGTACATCAAGAGGCAAGGAAGAAGCAGGTGGAGTAGTAGAGGTGGCCATTTATGTACCTGGCATCATAGTGGTTTCAGTATCAAACCACCTCATATCTCAGATATTAATGTAAAAAAAAAATTATTTTCCAAAGAACTCCTGTGTTTAACCCTCTCCCAGCCAAAGCACTCACTTGACAAATTTGTTGCTCCCGGCCAAGCTGGTTGCAGGCATTCTTTTTTTTTGAAGGACTCCTAGTTTCACCTGTTGGACTATTGAATTAGTATTTGGTGCTTTGACAGTTTATCCAGATTATGTTTTGTAAAATAATAAGGTAATATCTGGGGAACCAAGGCTTTGCAATAGGGCCAGGAGAGGGTTAATATTTTTATATGGAGGTTTTTCCAGAAATTAAATGATGACAAACGTTTAGATATATTTGCCTGAAAGGGTTAATAGAAGTTTAATTTGGGAAAGAAAGCAACTTCATGATGATTCATTTTGAATACACAGTAGTACTATTGACCCAAGTCTCAGGGATATTCATACCTAATATGAAGAAGAGGTTCCCACAAGTACTTTACGATCAAAACTAATTTTCTGTGCTCTCAACTGTCACTTTCAGCATTTGAGTGGGACTTGATAATCTTGTGGGCTTTAGATCAACACAAACTCTCATTTTTCTTACAATACACTTATGTCCCAGGTATGGCAAATGTATTAGCAAGAGTCTGTAAATGAAGACCATATTGTCACATGAACTTCTTTGCCCTATTGTAGAAGCTTTGTTTGGTATGTGATTTGTAATTGTGGTTAATATTTTTTATTGCAGATTGCAAGGGATTATACACCAAATTGGATGAATGCCATTGAGATCATTGACACAGATACATTCCTGGGTGCTGAGAACAGCTTCAATCTTTTTGTGTGCCAGAAAGATAGGTAAAGACTATAGTCAGCGACACATTGCTGGCAGTATTGGCATGGTGCCAGATTTGAGACTTTGTCTGTTTGAAAGTAGTGCAGCTGGATCAGATGAGGAGAAGCAGCAGATGCAGCAAGTGGGATGTTTCCACTTGGGTGATATGGTGAATGTGTTCCGACATGGATCTCTTGTCATGCAGCAGGTCACTGAGACATCGATCACCACTCAGGGGTCAATACTACTTGGCTCTGTCAATGGCTGCATTGGTGAGATTCACACTCCACAATTTCTCATGAAGCCTCCTTCAAGAAGTCTTATTTACTATTGCTGGAATACCAGGTCTGGTGACTCAGCTCCCACAAGAATTGTATTCCTTCCTGGAGGAAGTGCAGAAGAAGTTGACAAAGGTTATCAAGTCAGTAGGGAAAATCGACCACTCCTTCTGGAGGAGCTTCAATAATGAGAGAGTCACATTGGAATGTGAGGGATTTATTGATGGAGATCTTATAGAAAGCTTCCTTGATCTGGATCATGCCACCATGGAAGAAGTCACCAAAGGCCTCTCTGTATGTCTTTCTTTTTTGTAGAGTTCATTTGTGTTTTATTTGATTTGCTTCAAATTCTGAAGCATGCCATTCTCTGAATTCTTGTTTTTTTTTCATGGCTTTCTAAAACATTTGACCATCAATATAAGTAAATGGTAGTGAGATATTTAAATTCAAAAGTAACCATGCTTTTGTTTTTATTCTATGCCTGATATCAAGATTTAGAAAAGGAACATGTGATTTTTTAAAAGTATTTTGGAAAAAGTTTAATACATGTCATCACAGGTATAGAATTTTTCCATATAGGAAGAAAGAGACATGCCATGCTGAAATGCTCTCAACTCCTTTCCAGATTGATGATGGGGATGGGATGAAGAGAGAGGCTGCAGTTGATGACCTCATCAAAATCATTGAGGATTTGACTCGTATCCATTGAGATCAGTGAAGTTGTGTGAATCTTAAAAAAATACACCATGGAACTAGGACTGCAGAAGGAGGAATTAATCACCAGTTCGTCAACCTGGCTTGATAGTCGTTGTGAGAGACAGTCTTTTGCCATTCTTTTTTTTCCACCACCTCCCCCATCCCCTTCTCTACTCAAGGGTTCTTATGAAAGTGGAGTAGAATGAATGTTGGAATGACTCCATCCAAGATAGTTGTTCCCATTTCTAAAATAAATAAAGACAGAAGAATTGTGAGAGACTGTCAAACAGTAATGCCACAGCTTTCATGGGTTGTTTGTTTTTCTTATTATTCATGTTTGCTTGAAACAACATTCATAGCACAGCTGTATCTTGCAATTGTGCACATGGCACTGAATTAGCCTGTTAAACCCCAGAAAGTGTAGGTTGAGATTATCTGAAATCCCTTAATTATTCCTTGAAAGTCTCATATTCAATGTGAACTTGGACAATTTGATTTTAAATTTCAATGTGAATTTTTTCATTTTAACAATTTCTGTATGATCAAAGTTCCCATGAGACTGGAGTTACTAGATCAAAGGATCCAGTGTGAAACATCCATGGAAGTGCGTGCTGAGTAAATACATCTGCCTGATGCAGGCAGGGCTTCTGAATCAGAAACCTTTTCCTGATAACTTGAAAAATCTCCCATTATGAAGACCCTCTTGGTCCAACAGCTGGTTTCTCCATTGAATATCTGGAAGCAGGTGATGAACACCCTTAAAATTCTGGGGATGAGGAGAATAACCTGAGTTTTATTAGCTGTGACGTTCTGAGCTGATGGGAGATAAACTTTTTTGTTATGTTATATCTTGTCTCACTTCCCATTTGAATGTTCCTTGAAGGAAAAGCATGTCCTTAGAGTAAGATTGTTGAAATTATGACATGATTTTGGAAGAAGTCCTTGCAAAATGCAAAAATATTTAAAAGCAAGTCATGGGTGAACACATATTGAAAAGCATAAATGCATAATGACATCTTTGTTCTCTAGAAAAGTATGAGCATCAGAAGGCATCTCAACTCCAAAGATATCTTAAGCCTGTTCTGGAGAGGCACATGTAGTAGTAAGAATCTTCCATTGCCTCCCAATTCTCCAGTATTCCCCCTGCCACTCCTCAAAAATACTTGCTACTTTTACTAAATTTTTTAAAGTTTGATATGGACAAAATGGTCTTGCAGAATTAAGCTTTGGGTCATAGTGAACCATATTATTCTAATAGCCAGGGAAGTAAGTTAATATCCAGGTGTTGAGTGGTGCAATTGCATGAAATTTAAGGTCAGTATTCACCATGTGTAATAAAATCCAATCACTATTTCTAAGTCGTTGGATGACTTGACAAAAATCTTAGTACAAAATATTGTGCTAAGTACTGAACTCTGTAGTAAGTAGAAGTAGCTTGCTGCTTTCTGCCGTATCACGGGTGGAGAGTGTCTCCCCCCCCCCCCCTCGATTTTATGCCGCACTTTTTCGGTTACTAACGCGGTAGGGTGTCCCTCACCGCACTACTAATATTTAAAATAAAGCTGTGGTGTCTGTATTGATAAATAGAAAGGACTGTGGCACAACCACACTTGTATCAGTGGACAGGTCGTCCGGAGACCAGACGTCTCGCAACGGATCGGATAACGCCAGGAAGATTCTGGGCCTGGCACCCATAGATGTTCTCACAATCCTGTCTGTCTTTGGTCTGTCGAGCGTCGATTGCGGAGGTGCATCGTTATACCAGTTAACCGTTTAAGAAATTGAGGTCTCATTTACTTGAGAATTCTTAAGTGCAACGGCGCCGAAGCGGAAATCTTATGCCGTTTACGAGGAACTCGCTGGCATCCGCCGTGTGACGAGAGGGTGACGGGCACAAACTCCCCACGTGTTAGGCATTCCTAGATGTTAATCAATGATCGATAGATCCTGGATCTAATATGTGAAATTTCGGAGATTTGTCGATGACGAGTGATCTAGTAGGTGCCGAAAAAGTTGGGTATCTTGAACGACGCTGTCTTTTTGCTGCTTTCCCAGTTAGTTTTTACCATTTGGTTCAAAGCTGTAAATTCGGACTGTTTCCTGCTGGCAAAGAGCTGGAAAATAGTAGATACAAGTTGTTTTACAGCTGGAATTTTCCAACTGGAATACGGCTGGTTTTAATAGGTGTTTTCAGCTGAAAATTTCCAGTTAGAATTCATCCAGAGGACCCTCCAGCTGGAATACAGCAGAATTTACTGCTGAAATTCAGCTGCTTCTGTAGGTGGAACTCCGACAAGAATAACAAAAAAAAACTCTCATTCCAGCTGTTACCCAGTTGGAATCGGTCTGAAATTACAGTTGGGATCCAGCTGGAAATTATAGCTGTTTCCAACCAGATTTTAAGCTGAGTTGATGGCCAGAGACATCCACATTTCTGCTGCTTCCCACAACTACCTGGCAATGAGAATGTTCGTGTTGGAATGTGAATTCACGTACGATGAAACTAGTTTCTTGTTACCTCGAAAAATTTATATTCACCTCTTCATATTGTCGATTATAGGTGTCCAATCAATGAAGGAACCATTCCATAGGTGAAACCGACTTGATGTTTGCCGAATGTGAAAAGAGCAAAAGCATTTCTTATCTCGTTGTTACCGTTAGGTATAGACTAAAGAATATTAAGCATGTGGCATCGATCCTTTGGCCTGTGACCCTCTTCGGAAAGGGAGACTCATTTTTATGAGTGAGTCTGGCCAAGTGTCCTGGTCAAGTTTGCAGGGTGTTTACTGAGATGTATTCTAGTGGGTACTAAACACCTGTTATTGGTTTCTAATATATCAGATGCCCGGAGAACGTTATATTTTGGACTTAGTCTCAAAAACACTCGCACAGGCACAACCCGTTCGCTGAGGCGAAGTTGTAAGCAAAGTACGCACTGGTGTGATTGTAGGCTAGAAACAACAGACTAGTGTTAGGATTTGTAGCAGAAATTGACAGCTTTATATCAACAGGCCAAAATATAAGTCCAAAGTCCAAAATGAGTCCTAAATGTAACATGTTTCCCGGACATATGGTAATATGATCGTGACTGAGGTTAATTCTAACCATGTTCTTGATGAGGTAAAAACCTGAAACTTGTTACATAAGTAGCTATTGGGATGCTGAGTTCAGAAAATACACAGATAGTACACAATTCCCACTCGCAGCACTCATTTAGCCAGGGGCAGTTATTATTAGACGTCAGATGTCGCTCTAGTTGCATTGCTGGTTGTTGCCGGCTGAGCTAGTCGAAGGTTCAAGGCGAGGGTCGATGGGTGAAGAGGCTCTTCAGTCCGTATCGATACCAGGAATCGCAGTAGTGAGTAGAGCGAAACTCTCCCTGGAAGAGATAGTTAGTACCTACGCCACTTCATGGTGATCCAGAAAAGGCAAGAACTTTTTTCGCTTTACTCTGCTCCGCGGGGAATAATGCGATATCTGAAGTCTACGTGACGTTCGAGCCCTCTCAATTCTCCGTTCGGCGATTTGATTTCGAGATCGTCGGAATCGACGCACGCATCTGCAAAATACGGCTTTTGGAGTGCAGGTAGATCAGTATTGCTGGCGCACGGGGTTCGAGACCATGTCGAGGGAAGAGAGGAAACGGAATGAACATGCTTCTTTTGGGGCCATCCTGTGGAAGTGAATGTTTTCGGCAGAAGCTTGTCGGCAGCTCCCCGTCGAATGACTTGCTGCCACTTCGCTTTTTTGTTGTTTTGCCCACGAAAGCATCGCACGTCATCTTTAAGCCATGATTCGTGTGATATCGTTCTCGTTCGAGATAACGTGAAAGCCGGCTCGGATCCCGCCGTGGAGGCTGAGTCCCATGCCGAAATCCTGTTATTTAATCCCATTAGTGAGGAAGTGCGAAATATTTGCCTTGAGGCGAGTGATTGGCACAGATTTCTCCAAGTGATTCCTGCTACTTCTGTCAAGTGCGGCTTGATCTATACAACGTTATGAAACAAAGTGAAACGAACGCATCGTGTCACGATGTGCTCTTTTTGCCAGCCCCAGAAAACCTCCCATTTCGAGAAATATCAGATATTTGAGACCAAATTTATGCTGCCGAAGTTTTCTCTCGAGACTCGATACTCGGATCCACAAACCTCATTTAAGTGAGTTAAAGGAGCCTTTAAGCTAATGAGCTCGTTTTCCCTCATGGGATTTCATGCATTCCTGAAGGACCGTTAACTAAAGGAGGTTTCAGCATTCGGGCCTTATTTCTCAGACTTCGTGTTCTCCAACTCCCATTTCCAATACGTTAGATGAGCATGGATTCAAAAATATCTGCAGTGTCTGGCCACTAAGGCCAGACACTGCAGATATTTTTGAATTCGCCCTTGGTGAATTCGTTCTCGTTTTCCCTTCGACGAAGTTACCCTCTGTTGGACGGTTGGACTCGTTTCTAGGTTCATCTCGGATGCGAGAATGGCTGAAACGCAAGATATTCGATTTGATGTCGTCGCTTTGGGAGGTGCCATCTACGACATCATCGGGTTCGTCGTCTTTCCCTTCCCGTTTCCCTCCAGTCGCGGCGACGAAAAGACTTGCCGAGGTAAAGGGAGATGCGGCGGACGGCCTTCGACAGGTACGTGGGAAGATTTCCAGAGGTGGGCGAAACCGTGAACGGAACCGGTTTGATGGAGGGATTCGGTGGGAAAGGAGCAAACCAAGCCGTAGCCTGTGCCAAACTCGGAGGACGGACGGCTTTCATCGGCAGAGTGAGTGGCGAGCTGCACTCGCGGGATTGCAGGCGGCATTTTGGCTCGCCCCCTCCGGTCCCCGAGAATCACGCTTTCGTCTCTTTTTTTTTGTTTTTGACGTGCGACTCTAAGGGCCGATTGCATGAACCATGTTTATTTTAGACATTGATTATCGATAGTAATTGTTTAAACATTGTCTACGAAAACATCGGTTTACCGCTGTCTACTTTAGATTGCGTGAACGATCTCTAAGCTATGTTTTCATAGCCGATGGTTAGACGATGGCTAAACACCCCTCATGGTACATATAGCACGTTCTGACTCCTCGGTTGTCGAGTAATATCCATCGGACTCCACAAAAAACGAGCGAATCAAGTGAAAAAGGAGAACCTTTCCTCAGATTATTAAGTACATCTCGCAGAGCTTGTAAAGGAGAATCTCACGATAGAGAGAGACAGAATGCACTTTCCTTGCACAACAAATAATCATGCCTGGAAACTGGTGAGTTCTCCTCTGACCTTACTCTGTATTTCGATATATCAGAGGTAAAGCCAAGGATTCGTTTTGGACACTGGAAGAAGTAGGAAATGTGAAAAATAGGAGTATCATTTGTGTACGATTGCAAAATGAGGGTATTCGAGAATTGCGTGTGGATCCTGGTCACGTGATGACAAATTCAGTAATAATCCCTTCCGCATCGCGCACTGCTTGGACATTGATGAAATAGAAGCATTTGTGTCATTCCATTTCTAGGAATCGACGCCACATAAAATCGAAGGGTCAGCACAGCATGCAAATCGAAAGGCTTTCATGATACTCTTTACTTTCGAGTCATATTAATTAATTACTCAGGGGATGGGTACTTGAACAAATCATGATTCATTGCACACGAACAGTGATTGCTCTTATCTGTCGATGTAAAGTAAAGGGATCCTTTCCACGATCTTCGTTCCTTTCGAGTTCAGCGCGAAGCAGGTCGACATCATACCCTGATCCCTTTCCAAATTGGTATCTCACGCGGAAGTTCTAATCGACATATTCTTCAAAGGGATTAAGCCCAGAACCTATGTTTATTCCTCCCATGCGACGACGAGAGCACATCGCCGTTATCGAGCGGATCCATAAACAGAATTCATTGTGCTTCACCAGTACAATGCAGCACTATACTCATCGAGATGGTACACGAACGCTGGCATAAATATCGGCAAAACATGCCCCATCCCTTGTCTGGAAACGACACCTTTTTTAGCTTCTGTTAGACATCGGTTAGACAATGGTTAAGGGAAGATAGCGTTCATGCAATCCATTTTTGACCTTAGACATCGGTTAACCGATGACTTTCGAAAAACACCGGGAAAACATCGTTCATGCAATCGGCCCTAAGTTTTCTTTCTCCTTGGGAGAATGCCTCGAGACGGAAAGTGAGAAAAACCGAAATTTCCACCCACGATCCATCATCGGTAGAACTTTCTATGGCTGTCCACAAACCGTCAGAGGGGTGGGGGAACGTGTCGTCGAGGTGCCGTGCTTTCACTTCACGAAAATTCACCATTGCGGGAGTCTCCTCGTCTCTGTTCGCGAGAACGAAGGTTTCAACGAGAGAAAGGAGAACGATTGTTACCTGGATACTTTTCTACACGATGCCACTAGAACGTGCAGTCGAAATTCGGGCGAACGGGACCGGTCGGTCGTGTCGAAACTCCATATTTGAGACCCATTCTTACGTTGCCGGTGAGTCGGCTCGAGAACGAAGATCGCGAAGTGGAACGGCAAAGTCCGTCTTTCTTTTTCTTCCTCGCGCGGTTCGACCCCCGGGGTTAACGTGTCGTTCGTTTTCGATCGGGCTTCGCTTTCTCTCGTTCTACCCCGTACGGCGTTCTGATTGGAACCATTTCCATGGAAACCACGGGCTGGAATGGAGAGAGGAAATGCCCTAAAGCTCGTGGAATGGTGGAAGATCGTCCCATTTACTCGAATCGCCACGGATGATCTCTGTTTAGGTCGGGGATGACGGAACTGGAAGGGCGACCGTAGAAAACTTTCGGAAGTGGAACCTGGATGCTTCCCGCGTGCAACTCACCCCCGGGGCTTCCTCTGCGACTGCACTGATCCACGTGGAACGATCCGGTCGGTTGCTCCTACTCTACGACTTCTCGCTTCGACGATACGATTAAATCTAAAATGACGATACTCAACGAAAGGTTCATTCTACCGTTCCGCGTCGATTCCGGCTCGTTGGATCGGGAATGAAGAGCCTCGGTTCTCTCTGGGATGTACGTCGCGTGAACGATACCCCCCTCCAGGAATTCATTTCGGGAGTAGTATCGGAAGGAAAAATAATCTAGTCTTTCCTTTTCTCCCTCGACTTCCAGAAATGACTCTTACCTGCGATACCCACCGACGGGAGGAATTCGCATCCGTTCGAGCGAGGTAGAAAATCGAATAACAGTGAATGCGCGGAAACTATTCCGTAATTTCCTCCGTCGGAACGGAAGGAACCACTGGTTCAGAAATGAGTAATCCCTTCAGTCTTCAAGCGATCCCATTCCAAGGTGAGCATTCATGGGAACGAGATGAAATCGGACGAACCGCCTCAAACGAGCCCGTCACGAAACCAGATCAGTTTACGTTGATCGAAGAAACGACGCGAGATGGGAAAGACGGAAATCAATCTAACTCCTTTTCCTGCTTACTTCTCTATTTTCTAGGAAATGAAAAACCTTTTCTAAACTTCGAGGTCGTAGCGCAGTCTTCGGTTGCGGAAAAAGATTTATCTGAAAAATCCCCCAAGAAGGAATCTCAGCCCGTAGACGTCGCAATGCCAACGTGCTCTCCGACATAAATTGAGGAGTTCTCTAGAAAAAGGGCGTATGTGCAAAAGATGCAATTCGAGATAAACGATAAAAAAAACTTCCATAGCTTATCTGAAGCTGGTCCAAACTTAATTATCAGTAAAATTAAATGTCATACATTTTTCAAAAGGAACTTAGGGTTTTAATGAATTTCTTTCTCTCACATTGCTGGGATGCAGGCAGAAAGTGTTTATGTACATACGCCCTTTTCCCATATCCGCGCTGCTGAAGCTTTTTTCAAAGAGTCTTTCACCGCTTCTTTCCTGTTAAAAATAACAATTAATCAATAAATGCATCTACAAATTTTAAATAAATTCTTTCTTAAAGAATAGCAAGGAAAATGTGAATATCCAGGACACGTTTCATTCGCCAATTACTCAGCAGTGATCCAGTATTAATGTATTTATCATCTGAATCTGCAACTATTTTATGGATATCTCTAACTCCTCATATCCTTCCAGAGGCTTGAATGACTGGGCCTCTTTCTTTCCCTTTCCTCATGCCTGGTTTCTTCCTCATTTTTACTTTCAGTTTAAAAGGACGAAATAATTCCACCAAAATCGTTCATGCAAGTGCTAATGTGCTAATTCATGGAGGCAGCCATATTGAAATTGCTAGGCAGTTGGCCTGCTATGTAGTGAGAGCATAGGAAAATCTGCTTCTCCTTTGCTGAAGACGCATATTAACTACTTGCTGACTGCCCTATCCGATGACAAGTCGTCTAAAGCAGCACATGGACGCGGATATGAAAAAAGGGCGTATGGACGTACGCCCCTTTTCCAGAGAACTCCTCAATTTATGATGGTTGTGGACTGTTCCGATCGCGGTCGTAACATCTCTCTCTCCGTTCGAGGAGTCGCGCTCGTCTATTTATCGAACGGTGTCCTCTCGTGCTTGTTCGACGTAGCACTTCCTCTTTGATTTCCTCCGTTAGTTTGGGGAGACTTTGGGTCCTTCCGTGCCATCGCTGGAAAACTTTATGGAATCCTGCAAAACGTCCTCGTTTCAGTATCGATTTTTCATGGATACAGAATAAGCGAAAAATCGATCGAGCACCTAGCGAAAGCACGATGACTGAGGACGAGAAAAATGGAAGAAGCAGACCGATTTCCACATATCCTCGTGTCGGTCCGCGAATTCCCGGAGGGGTTGCGTTCATCCCGAGTCGGTAGGAGGTTTTCCCCCGGTTCGAACGTCCGCAATCGGATCGGAATGGCATGTATCTATTGTCGGATGCGCGACCGGATTTCGCGAGGGTGGCCGTTCGCTTTCGTGGCAGGAGCAAACAAGGTAGTGGTCGTGAACGGGGCCAACGACCACGTCTCTGAGGGTGACGTCCAAGATGCAGCCGATGTGATCGAGGCGAGCAAGGTCCTCGTCTGTACCTTGGAAGTCCCAAAAGAGGCCGTGAGGAGGGCTCTAGAAATCGCTGCTCGACGTGGAAGTGAGTTCACGTACCGTTTCGCCCCGTACTCGTAGGTGTCACTCGGGACATGAGACCGGCTTTGGAGGGGAGTCTGTCGTCGATGCTCAGGAGATTCGGAATTAGTCGTGGTCGTCTCGGCTGCCTCTTCAAGCTCAGACCCCAGACCTGTTGTCTTCCTCCAAGTTCTTGGCTCGAGGCACTTCAAATTGAAGGGCTGAAAGGAAAAGTGGCGTATTTGCAGAAAAATGTCCGAGAAAGTTATAGTTGGTTCAGTGCACATAAACCCTTTCCCCTCTCATTGGAGATGACGGTGTTTGGGATTTATGGAGAAACTGGTCTCCAACGGAAACCTTTTTCCCCACTTCAAAGAAGACTGCCTCTGGAACATTTACTCTTTCCGTATGGAACTCGAGAAAATAATATTTTGCTGAGAGGCCACTTTCCCTTTCGGCCCTACAATTGTAATTGACTGCTCTTATTTCAAAGGTGGTGATAAACATATTGACAGGATCAAAACTTCACTGAGATTGTCTGCCACTGCCACACATGTTGAAACTTTGCCTGTGGACTTTCGATATTTTTGTGAGTAAACTGAAAGTGAAAGTGGAAGATCAATCTAACATGTGCTCTGGGCTAAGTCGTGACCTTCCTCCTACTTTTCACTGCATGAGTTACGAGGATCTTGAGGTTGCCACACGATCATGGGCAACCTGTAAACCTAGCAGAAATTCATTTTGATGGAGATTCAATGTAAAGTTGATCTCTGGTGACAAAATGCATCGATTTCCATGACTCTAAGAATGCATCTGTGGTGTCCCCGTGTCGATTCTCTGGATCGTGCGTGGAAAATAATCCCTAATGAAGAGGTGTTGTTTGAATTTAAAAGACAGACTTAAAACGGATGTAATTTACTCTAGTTTTTGCAGTCTTACTCGATCCATACTGGATTATGTGTTACACTTTTTGGTTTCTTTCCTTTTCTCTCTGGATAGTAACATCAGTTTTGAACGCAGCTCCTGAGCCGAGTTCCATGCCAGTGGATCTCTTTTCACTACCGAGCATCGTCAACGTCAACGAAACAGAAGTAAGTATTTTCATCCACTCGGTTACCTCTAATAAAATTCCTAATCGGATATTCTACACCTCCAGTATATTCCCCTCTGCTCAAACTCGAGAAAAGATCCCGCGGAGGCTTGGTGTGTGCTACGAGCAGGAAATACAGACTGTTCACGAAGTCCCAATACACTTTACAGTACCTATCCAACGCTAAAAATAATAAAATGAAATAATAAAATAAAATAAAATAAAATAAAATGAAATGAAATAAAATAAAATGAAATAAAATAAAATGAAATAATAAAATAAAATAAAATAATAAAATAAAATAATAAAATGAAATAAAATAAAATGAAATAATAAAATAAAATAAAATAATAAAATAAAATAATAAAATAAAATAATAAAATGAAATAAAATAAAATGATAAAGCGATAAAACGATAAAAATAATATACTAAATGAAATAAATAAAATAAATAAATAAAATGGAGACTTGGACTCATCGAGTCCGAGTCTCCAAAGATCTATCTCATGGATGACTTTCCACTGGATGCCAGGGATATCCCTGTGAAGTGCTATCGCTGTGACACCAAAAACGATGTGGCTAATGGTTTAAACCCGAGGCTAAAATTCACTCAAAAACATGTTCTAGCTGGTATTTGATGAGTCTGATCACATTTCGATTCCCTTGATATCAAAAGGTTCAGTGACTGCCGAGTGACTGCCTAAGCGTACATAAACCAATGTCTGAAGAAAGTACTTCTTCCCTTCATTGAAAATTATCCCTACAAGGACCATGGCATCTTCTGGAGGGATATGGCTCCTTATCCCTCAGGTCCGACCCATCGAGCAAATTCGGTTCAATTTGAAAGACAGATACTCGACAGGAAAGGCGAGGGCCATGAACCGCAACTCCTCAAGCGGATCTTGTCAAATTTGTTCCAACAGTAGACAGAGGAGGTGGGCTCAGACCTCAAGGAATCACTTCAAGCCGACTTAGAAAAGTTGGAAGTCAAGGCGTGTATGCCCACATGGAGTGATTAATTGTAAAGAGTGGAAATTGTGTTGTCATCAGTCAAAATTTGGACCTTGTATCCTCTTTAGTTACTGAGTAAACTAACAAAAACAAAAGTGAACCCAATTTTTGGTCACCCTTTATACAATCTGAACATGTTCAATTCTCTGTTGAAGTACGTAATTCTGTCCGAATGAAGCCTAAAGGATGAAAGTGATATCAGACAAAGTTTGTGGGATGGCCTTGAAAAATATGAAAAGTATGCCAAGGTTCGGTTCGTTCTGAATTCTACCTGGGACAAGACCAAAGTTGGGCTTACAAACTACATGTACCCCATACCTCTGGCTCGGAGAACGTTCGCAGTTAGAGTAAATCCGTACGCGTTGGGGGTGGAGGGTTTGTTGTATTGAACGATCCTTTAGGGATGGCCCATATCCATGAAAGATATTTGAAAAGGAGTTTACATCGAATAAATGTAATGGAATGACGTTTTGTGCCGAAACAGGCTGCCCAAGCGACTGGGCTGAAAGTGGAGACAGTCGAGGATGCGAAAGATGCTTTGAGGAGTCTATTGAAAGACAAAGGATGCAAGGGTGTCATCTTGACGCTAGGCGAAAACGGATGTTTGTATGGGCACCGAGACGAACCGGAAAACGTCGTCCATGTCACGACGGAATCCGTTTCTCCGATCGACACGACCGTATGTTACCTCGCCGCATCTCACCACCGGTGCATCGAAGGGGGAGCGATGCGACCGGGGAGATGGTGAGCCGAATTTCGAAGGTCTTTCTCTACTCTTGTCGGCAGGGCGCAGGGGACTCGTTCAATGGAGCCTTCGCTTTCTTCACTGCGTGCCACTCGGAGCTGCCAATGCGAGAGCGACTGTCTCGTGCATGTGCCGTCGCCACGCGCAGCGTCCTCTCACACGGCACTCAATCCAGCTTCTCCACTCGCGACCAACTCCCTCATGCACTCTTTCTTTGATATCCCTACCATGTCTCTATCATCCTATTACTAGCGCCATTTTAGGACAAACTCAGCATATATGAAGGGTGAAGCACGAGATGCTGACGGTTTTTATTTGTAAATAAAGTCACACATGATGTAAATGAACAATTTATTGACAACACCAGGAACATCATTTTGTGCGAATTATTTGCCAGTAACATTGTATTCAATGTGACCGTCGTTGTGACGGCAAACTTTCTCCAACCGCCGGATGAACTTGTTCATCACTCGGCGACAGAGTTTTCGCCAATGGTCCTACACAGTTCTGAATTTTTTGTCGAAGTTCCACGAGGTCTTGCTGGCTATTTTCGTAGCTCCTCATCACTTTCTCGTAACACTTGAACAACTTGGATCTTCTATGGATACATATCTAAATCTTTATTCTACATCCGGAAAATGGTTCATCTTGAAATCCGTAATTGCTACGCTGTTTTTCTTGGGGTGTACTGCATGGCTGACCTTTTTGCTGACCCAACCTGAATTCGAACCTAGGAAAACCAAGAATCTCTGTCAGCCATGCAGCCCGAACAAATCAACAAGAAACATCTGTCGCCGAGTGGTGAACAAGTTCATCCGGTGGTTGGAGGATGTTTGCCGTCACAATGGTGGTCACATTGAGCACAATGTTGCTGACAAATAATTCGCACAAAATGATGTTTCTAGCGTTATCAATAAATTGTTGATTGTTCATCATGTGTGACTTTACAAATAAAAACCGTCAGCATCTTGTGCCCCACCCTGTTAATCAACTTGCCTTTATTTTTTAATACAAAGTATTTTTCCTGGGGTAACCATGAGTGTTCATTCCATTCACGAGGGTGTGGTCGGAACAGCGCTTTCATGAGGATTTCAAAAGAAAGAGGAAAAACTACTCGTCCAATTATCAGAATTACCAATATCGCGTGGGAACGCGCTCCAAGAGCGAAAAACGGGACTCAGGGCGTAAAAATGACCGAAGTATACAATGCAATAAAAAATTATACCGGGCATCTATAACTAAATGTTATTTATACTTCTCCAATAACTTTTTACTCATGAGATTGTGATTAGGTGGGCTAGCAGCTGTTGCTAGTGTCAACAAGGTAAGCTAGATCATCATCAGGTTCCTGGGAGCCACAAAGATAAGCTTCCCCGAAACCAGATCATGCGCATAATTAACAGTTAAACATAATTAACAGGTAAAAATGTCTGTTTTGTAAAGTATTTTCGATATCAGATGTATGTTTCAATGTCCAGAGGTGAAACATTGACGTCGATTAAACAACTCTGGTCCCCTCTTTTTTTTATCGCGGAGATAACGTGAATATCCAGCCTCATCACCAACTTGCGCAAGCTTTCCTTATGTGCAAAATCCCACTAAATGATTTTTAAAACCATTTCCTCTCCCCCCCATAATTAGTAATTGCGTTATCGGGTCATAGTATACTATCGCAGTTTTTGCGACTCAGTTGTGCAAGTTAGTACAAGCCAGTTTCTGGGAATAATGCAAATTCAACTTCCACACCGATATTGCCATTTGTGGTTTACTCAATCATATTTAAAAGATTGCGAAAAATTACGAAAATGCATCTTCATCCCCAACATGCTAAGCAATTTGATGCCATATTCGAAATGTCCTTGATGTTGCTTTCATTTTATTGCGAATAATGAATGGCATTGACTTTTCGTATCACAAGAGACTGTCGCACTATTGACGATTCTAATTCTTTCTCTGGGAATCATCCATTTCCTGTAGAGTGCAACAAAAACGTCGATTTAATTACGTTCTAGTTCCCTGAATAAACTTTGAATATTACAGAAATATAGAAAATATGCTACCCGATGGCTCCATTACCGCAATATTCCATGCCAACATGAGGTAACATAATCGAAAAGTACATACCCATTTCCTTTGTAATTTTTTAATTTTTTCGAATTTTTTCTTTGACTTTTCCTCTCGCAGATTCGCACAGTTTTGCGAAGCTGACTCAAATTGAGGAAATCTTGCATTTCCTGTCATGGAATGCAACATAAACTTAGATTTTGCTACGTTCTGGTTCCTTTGATCATTTCTCAAAAGCGCGGGAGAACTATACCCTAGTAGCACATAACATTGAATCAACATGAATTCATGTTGATTCAGCATCCGGATGTTGAGTCAACATTGAATCAATGTTAATTAAATGTTATGTGCCACTAGGGTATAGGGTGACACAAAAGTTTTGTACATTCAGTTTTTTTTTAAAGCATTTTATAACTTCTTTAAACAGATAACAAATAGGGATTAGAAAACTAGAAAATACAACTATTTCAACAGATAATACCAGTAAAATCACTCAAAATTGCCATTTTTTCTTTGACATAATCACGATGTATTTTTGGAAACGCATCGACTGCTGCACGCAGTTTTTAAGGAGATTTTGAGGCATTCCTTCAAGGGCATGCTTCAGTGATTTGACCGATGTATGTGGAGTAGTACAGGCTTTGTTCTCGAAGATGCTCCACATAGAAAGTCCAACGGGTTCAGGTTGGGACTACAAGGAGGCCATTCTGCCGAGGTGAAGTCAGGAAATTCTTTCGTTCCTCTGAGTGATCGTTGCCATGCGGGTTGGTGCAGAGTCCTGTTGAAAAGTCCATTTAAGGTTGCCAAAGTGCTGTTTGACCCGCTGCATTACTGTGCCCTCCAGGATGAGGTCTCGGTAGACAGAGTTGATCTCTCTGCCGGAAACCACGAAGACCAGTGGTGTGCGCTCCACTGCAGCGATACCGGCCGACACCATCACAGAAGCTGGCATCTGAGTATGAGTAACACGACGGAGTCTAGAGGAGATGCCTAACGACTCTGCTGCCCACACTTGGTCATTTTTGAGAATTAAGGGATCGCTCGATTGTGAAGAAAGAGGATATTGCGATGGCCGCCATCTGCGAACATACGGAGCAGCGACTGCGATTGTCGCAGCCTAATCTTCTTCGCTTGTTCCGTGAGAAATTGAGCATTATGGAGCTTCAAAGGCAGGACATACAGCTTGTTCTTGACCATTCATCAGAGCGTTTCACGATTTATCTTCATCGATTTTTCACGGCGATTGCTTCAGATTGCGACGAAGTCGAGATTAATCTCTTTTGATGCTGGCAGTGACGCAGACCCGTTGACCCGATCGATGACGATCCTCAGAATAGTTTCTCTCAAGCTTCCTTGATAGTACGTTTCCTGATGTTCCGGTTGTAGCATTTGCTGTAGAGCAGCCGGACAATATCCCAAGTAACACAAGATATTCCAGCAACGCTTAGGAAATGTTGATGAACAATGTTGCATCTATGTGTAAATGTCCAAAACGTCAACGTTG